TCAGAATATGGCGAATGCCTGTTTTGTAGGCTATTAGGTTTGCTGTTTGACACGGCTGCATTCTGTTACCTAGGTCGTTCAAACAGGTCGGCAACAGAATTCTCAGAGACACTACACGGTTTTGCAGGTATCTTATTTGCTCTTGGACGCCGGCTAACTGGCATCGACCATGCTGGTGATATTGTCCCACAAATCTAAAGCTGTGATGACTTACGAAATCTACTATCAAAAGTGGTCGCCTAATCAGTCGGTTTGCATACAAAGGCCTGTAAGATTAGCGTTCTAGCTCCACTTCTTAGCAAAAGAAGACACCCTTCAAGCTTAATGTTTGTCAGGTTGAACAAGTTGATAGTTCGAGATAACTCGGGACAAGTTATTTTCAAAGGAATCGGGTTGGAATAACACTGTCTCAAAGTCCATAATACTGTAAGTTCATCACAATCCTCAGAAAGATCCAATGAGCTCAATTTGGTATTTCTGTCGCCAGAAAGATCTTTATGTGCCGGGAATCCGTCTTGTCAGTCATGCGCGTCTGTTAATGCTGGTGTGTAGGCAAAATATGGGCGTGAAGTGAAAGGATTTAACCACTGAAGTATACCGACCATGGCCAGAGGCAAACAACCTAAATTGGGTGTGGCAACAATGTAAAGATAAACCAAGTCATCTAGGTAAGATGACCGAGATAAGTTGGGCCTCTTCCTTTCCATCAATCCATGAGTTCAGCACTGCGCTTCGTTATCCGGTGCCACTGAATGTTTAAAAACGCAGAGGGTATTAGCTCAAAACCTGGCTCAAGAGGAGGTTTCTTGCCCCGTCGGTATTTAGTTTTTATCGATGTAGAGAAGATGGTCAAGCTGTCTAGAACTGTTGGACAGATCTCCACACGTGGAGGTAAAACTACGAATTCCACCGAGGCCATATGCCTGAAACATAATCAGAGCTGTCCTAAATACAATAAAGCACGAGTACGATCGGTGTTTATGCGGAACAGTATGTGACTGCCGTCTGTGACATTGTTGTCAATGAAAACGTTGACGTGGAGAAAAAAAGGGGGTGGTAAAACTACTAAACAATGTTTATAGTTTAGAAAAAAGTGCACAACTACGGGAACTTGTCACACTAAAATTGCATATGTTGGATTTTAAAGCAGTGAAAAGCAAATAGAGCGACATTTTAACAGGTCCACTGTAAGTTTAAAACAGTACATACTTTTGTCAGCAGCCAATCGCCTGAACGTGGTGACATGCCAAGGACCTCAAAGCTCTCAGTATCCGTTTTGTCTAAACAGAAAATAAGCCTATTTAGAGAAAAGACACACCATGTACGGAGCAAAGCTGCTAACTAATTTTTCAAAACATACAGTAGCCGCCGAAGGCCATGCAACGGTAATTATGAAATTTGGCTAGACATTATAGGCTATATTTGAA